AATCATGCATCCATGACAAACTTTAATATCTGACCTCTAACCCTGATTGCTCTGACAGGTCAGCTGCTGTGAACTTGAATCATCAAAATTTGTTTTCATTTTACCCACAATGCCTCACTGTACATGGTACTGTATATGTATCAAATCTTTTCATCTGCAACAATTGTGTCACTATCGGTATCTGTGATTTACTGAATGTTGCACACATTTCTTCTGGTTCACTGCCTATAAAACAAAAAATACAGCAAATAAACTACAACTGGTCACTGGTAGCATAGTGGTTGTCGCACCAGTCATGATCGGTAGACCCAAGTTCAAATCCTACCTTAGGCTGAACATCAAAATGGTCGACCCCTACCCTGGGTGAGTGTGCCACAGACTCAATGGGAAGGCCAATTCCACTGGCCGAGATTCATTCACTAACGAATGCGACTTTGGGGGAACCTTGGTTAAGGTCCGCAGGTGTTTGTGTTCGACCGGGCCTGGTTGACACCAGGATAGCGCATTACAAATTGCCATTTGACAGAGAGATGGCCACACAGCCCTGTCATGTAGTCCCAAACATGAATATGACTTCTGTGGCAAAATGCACTATGTGTCGTCACTAGCACTTGCAATTTGCACATACAAAAAAAAAGTCAGGAGAGACAACAGTGACACTTAATGTCCGGAACTGTCGCCTGGCACAAAAAAAAAAAAAAAAAAAAAAAAAGAAACTACAATATTCTATAAGATACATGTACCAACAATTGTTTTGTTTGAAAAACTACATTGTGGGTACCATGAAATTCACATAATTTATGCATATTAATTTTTCATGTTGCATAATTTTTCCTGTAATGCAATCTTCTCTGATAATTCTATGCATGTGGTGTGATTTTATTTGCATGTATGTGCTGGCATTATTGTGTGGTTGAAACTAATACACATAGGGGTGATGGGTGACAATTTTGAAGGGTGAAGGTCATTGCAACCTCCATTTTAACTTGCCCATTGCTTTTCTTGTGCAACCTAATAATAATTACAGAAATATGCTCAGGATATGCCTACACCAAGAACTCCCCATCAGGTATTGCTATAATCAGTGTACGGTGTACATATGGTTTTTTCTTCTCGCATAATAAAAGTGTAATTCATCATTACAGTGTTGTGTATTTCACCTGTTTTGATGACAATCATACAGTATTTGCCCTATTAGCGTATGTGATTCTATAAATTGGCACATGTGTGTCAATGATTGAAATATTTTAATGACTCAGCATACAATCAAAGCATTGTTTGGATCTATGTATGCTTCTACTGGAAAAGCACTTCTAAAAGAGCAAATACAGTACTTCTATCCTCATAAGAATACTACGTCTGCCTTGCTTCTTGCTTCTTTCCTCAGTCTTATTTATGTTTCTATTGATAGCGTCTGTTTCTGTCTCTGGTCTATGCATGTTATTCTGTCATGTACTTGTATTCAATAATGCCTGGGTTTGCTGTACATCTGTCGGTGTATTTATTTTACTTTAAAGGTGTATATATGCGTACGTTGTGGCATGTCATAATGAAGTACATGCTCATTTTCCTATAGTGTGTCTTACCGTGCAGTGGTGTAATGTCTAAATGGTTTCCAGTATTCTACTGTAGTTGCCAACATCATATATTATCATCTATTGTTGTCAATTCATATTTGCATATTACCGTAGTATTGGGAATATTCTGTTGAAACTCCTCCATTATCAGAACTTAGTTTTCATGTGATTTCTATAAACGTAATATTACTACCTTGTAAATCATTTAACTTGATATATCTTGAATTGAATCAGTGTTTTCGTTTCTCAACATGTGCCTACCATATGGCAATGCATGTATTTTCTGAAAGCTTATGCATGTATATAGACAAGAACAGATGATTTTAACATTGTTTGTGAGATGTAAAAATCTTGTAGACCGTGATTGAACAAAACTTATCTCATTGTTAGGCCTTGTCTTTTGCAAATGACCTGGGAGCGGAAACACACTAATGTGCGGAGCAAAATGATTATTGAACTTTTTTTTTTCATGTTTGCTCACAGAATTTTTTTATAATGCAACACTGAGTACCTGATGTTTGAAAACATATATGGTCTTCTATATCTAAGCTTTCAGAATATACAGAGTGCACATTGTCATAGTTACATGATTATTGCATGTACAATGCCTTTGCATGTACCGGTACAATAAATGAGATAGGGTGGCTAAATGAAAAAAACAAACAAATAAAAGAGTTCCTTGGTCATTCTTTCTGCCAATGTACTGTTCAGATTTTCATTCAGTTCTATCAATCGTACAAATTTGACATTGATTGTTTTTGAAGAATAAATATGCAAAGATTATGCAAAACCAGGTTTCATTTCTATGTGTCTTCACAATGTTATACATCTTCTGCAACCTGATTTCTCATTGTAACCGTCATTGTATTGCTGTTACAGGTCGGTGGGTGTCGATGATGTCACCGCATGCAAGTCTTGGTATGGGAGCTATACATCAGGTTTGTTTGTTTTTGTAATTTGATTTCTTTTTAGGTGACTTGTAGGTCAAGTACTGTAACTTACTTTCCGTTTTTTTGTTTGTTTTGTAAGTTAATACTGGAGTGCATTTAAATTTAAATGTTTTTCCATTTTACGCCTAATTCATGTGTTTTTCTGCTATTGTTTGATTTTCTTGTTTGTACCCTCAAGTCATACTGCTTTCATTGTTTGAAGAACTTTAAATAAACATAATATACTCCTTATCAAACCTGTATGTAATTCTACCAAAAGATCATCTAAAATACAAAGATCTGATTGGATGCACATAGCCTATGGCAAAAACAGCAAATTGTCAAAGAGAAACCCCAATTTTGGGACCAACTGACAAAATCAAAAATGTGGCTATTTTTGTTCCAATCTTCTGAAGGAAAGTGCAGACTATTAACGGAACTATTTTGTGAATTTGTGATGAAAAGAAGGAACTGGTGGTGAAAAGGTTAATAAACTCTCACTGAACTGAGTCTGCCAAAGTAGTGTTGGATGATGGCCAACTAAATGGACTTTGATTAGTGAAGATGTTACTTTCATGTGTTGTACATTTTAAGTGTGTCTGGTCTGGTGTGGATGCTCAGTGTCCCAGAAAATTAGAATCAAACAATTTATTTTTCATTTTATACAATATCAAATTATTGCTAGCTCATAACCATTCCGGTGTATTATTTTGAGTGTTATATCTCTATTTCATGCATTATCATTAGGTGGTATGATGGGTACTGGAGGATGGGCTGGCCATTCATTGGCGAGGAAAGGACCTAACGTAGCACTCACGGCAGTAAGTAAAACATCACATGACATTTTTGTATCTTGATGCCTCCTTGTCATTGCACCATGCTCAATATGGATCCATGTATTGTTTCCATGAAATTCTAAAATGAATTGCTGAATGTATGTGAAGTTTAAAGCTGCATTCTGTGAGGTGTAAGTTTATGTTGAATATGTTTTAATCATTTCCAAGTTTGAATGAATGTGGATTCGCAAAGATTAAACGTTGTTCTGGATAACTGTACCATTATTAGATACCAATAAATGAATTAGTCACAGAACACCAATGAACTTTGACCCATCAGTAAGATTTGTAATCCTCAGTCATGCTTTGTGTCCTCAATAGTGTGTGTCAATGGTGGCCAATGTGTGGTTAAATCGCTATAGTTTTCGTTTTGTGTTGTATTCAACATGGGTTCCATGCCCACTTATACAACCTGTATAAAATACTTCGATCACATGACTGTGAGTCTTTAATTCAGTTCTACTAAAGTGAAGTTCATTGCACAGCAAATTTAGAACAAACAATCATGTATTTTACATGTGTTATATGTTTCTTAGAATTCATATTAAACATTAGGCATCGTGACACAACTATCAGCCTTTAATAACATGCGTCGTTTTCAATCCATTCCAGAGCTCAGTCATCCAATCACCAAATATATAATAATATTTTGCATAATCTGTCCTCATTTTCTGGATTGTCCCTTCTGTACAATGAGTAACTCAGTTTCTAGATGCCCAATAAATAGTGTAACCAATCATCATGCTTTATTGCAGGGTCCTGGTGGGAAAGCTTCCTTCAGTTTCAATGCACCCTTGTCACCACTGAAGGACATTAAACACAGACGTGTAGTTTCACTGTATGACTATAATCAAGCCAGATCGGATGAGCTGAATCTATTGAGAGGTGATGTGATAACAGTGTTACATCAAGACAATGAAAACTGGTGGCTGGGTGAATTGGTAAAGAATGGTCAGCAAGGATACTTCCCTGCTAACTATGTCACACCTCAGGGTAAGTGTCTACTGCCCCCTGGTGGTAGGATTGAGAACTGTATGCACTCACTGTTGTAAAAATAATACTAATATACTAGTAGCTGTAACTGATATAATTACAGAACTGAAATAGATGCAAATGGCTCGTAAGGAGCAAGAGAATCCCAAAACTTGTTTTTGTCCCTCATTTTAATGAATATTTTTATTAATTTTAATAGAAATACTATTTTCGACCTTTTCTTGAAAATGATAGGCCCAATTGCTTTGATATTTTATATCTAAACACTTTGGATGGACCCCAGTCAGAATCATTCATTATGTGACACTATCTTTAAATCATTTATTTATTTATTTTTCAATTTTAATAAAAAAATGTATTTGTATATTTTGCAGTGTCAAATCAGTTTTACAGTAATAATAATTACAATGGTTATTTATTAAGTACCTGTAACCAGTATTACTTTTTGACTATCAACCTCTGACCTCTCAGTCAATATATTTTGTCATTTACAAAATAGACCCGTTAAACTGTTCTATTATTTCAAGACCTGTAGCTGATGAGAAACTATCTAATTCAAAAGTAACAAAGATGCATTTTGATAGAAAAAGGGCTTAATTATAGTAATGGTACAAAAATGTAAATATGACATTAAATTAAATTTTACTCTTGTCTAATCTTTTTAGAAACCATGGAAATGCAGGATATAGAGGACGTCCTCGATGGTGGTGACGTCAACGAGAAACCCAGTATGTACGGTACTGGTCCATCAGAAAGTGATGATTTGTTGGATGAAACACCAAAACCAAAGAAAAGAACTAAAGCCAAAAATAAATCAAATGTAAGTAGTAAAATTGTTGCTTGGCACACATGTGTCTGAAGTACAATTTCGAGGTTCAGCGTCAACTACCTTGAATGTACTAGTACTGTGGATGTATTAATTTTTTACTGGATTTAAATTTCAATAATGAGTAAAATTTGCTGAATTATTAAATTCACCTGAGAATGTAAAATTATGGTTGTTTTTATTGGCAAATTCGTGATTTAACAATCACTGACTGAAAGCCTTCACAGAGATCCAAAACAAATGGAAAAATACAATCACGAAATGATGTGTTTAAATACAGTAAATATGCTAAAATATGAAATGGTGAAATTAAAATATGTGTGAAAATGAATGCTTTTAAAGTATACTCTTTAGATTTGTATTATTGCTGCGTGTTGATAAGCCCCATATGTTGATTGCTTGTGATATATCAATTTTTGGGAATGAACATCCATGAATTTTTACATCCAGACAACCACAACTGTTGAAAACAATGGTCAAAAACTCTCGGGAAAACTGCTTTGAAATTTACGTAACTGTGATTATTGTAATTTCACAGGCTATGTTTTAAAAGTGCCTAGTTTATCATAGTTATAGGTTTCTATTAGAAAATCGGTCACTGTGTTAATGTTACAAAGTGCCTCAATTTTCTTCTATTGCATGGGTCCCTTATTAGGAAATGTAAAATTCTAAATATGAAACAATTATTTGATATTTTCAAAATGACAGACATGTTTGAAAACTAAAATTCCACTAATTCTCGCCATCTTCTCCAGTTCTAGGATAAATAAACCAAGTGATTAGGTCTATGCGTTTTGGTCGATACTTCCACTGTACGGTCTTTCGAGCATACTTTACAATAACCTCCTATAACTTGTGTTACCATGTATACTGTAATTTTTACTGTATTCTGTATCCGACTTGATAGATGTCAGCTGTAGTGACGGCTACTGGTGAGCTGAAAATACTCTCAGGGCCCGAAGACACAGTCAGTGAGATGGACATACCTACTGTACCGTAAGTATTGTCTTTTTTTTTATTTTCTAGACTTGGTAGGTCACTTAGTAGGTGTAAAGTTAAAGTGGGAGGGTCGTCACCTGCGCACACGCGGGAATCGAGTCCCAAGCGATGATAACAACACATGCTGAAAATGCAAAAGCTTATGGTTAGGCGCTTGTTTGTAAACAATGACACGCTATGGCCATCTGACGCATGCGCAGGTGACGACACGCCGGCTTTAAATGAAAGGCGTCATAATGTTGACACTACAAACGCACACAACCACTCCAATTTTTTTCTGATTTCAAATTATCCACTACTTGAACACTGTTCATTGTATCTTGAATTAAACTGGAGAGTGTGGTAAAAACGTTATATATCAAAAAATATTCAGACCAATTAATATTCAATTAATAATATCTACCTGTATCATGTTAATATCATTATTATTGTTTCAATAGAGCAAGACAAAAGAAGAAAAGGGTAACCACTAAGCAACTTGCTGCCACCGGCGACACAACAACTGATGGTGAAACTCCTAGGAAACCTAAACCCAAAAGACGAGGCTCCAGAGAAAATCTACTAGATGATGATGAGACTCCAAGAACGACCTCAGACACCGAGAAAAAAGGTGGTAAAAGAAAAACTAAAACGAAACACATTGAAAAATCAGCGTAGAATATTTACACCTGTTTATTTTAAAAAATAATTTGTAAATAACTTTATAATGTTGTAAACCCGGCTGAATGGTTCATAAGCTATCAAATTCACACCCGTCCAAAAGAAATTATACATATAGTTTGTGGAGATCGTCCAACAGGTTTACACTGTAAATAGTTCAGAGGTGCACAGCACTACTGAAATGTTTCTCACATTTTAATTTATAATTTGCCAAATAAAAAAAAAAATTAAAAGTACTTTTCATGAAGATTATTTTGATATTTTTTGTATTAAAGTATTCCCGTTTCTGTATTTATTGGTATATCATCATATTCCCAATTATGTTTAATATACGGATGATTCTATTTCAGTTTTAGAAAACATGCTTGTTTTATTTCAACGAATCAGCAGGTGTGATTGGATAATCAGAATTTATGACGAAAATCTTCTATATTGTGGGTGCTAAATTTGTAAATCAGATAAACTAAGAACTTTGTTTTAAATTTGTAAATATAATAGTTTGTACAGTTGTACATATTAACACAAATTTGAATTTACTTTCCTTGAAGTTTGTTCTCATTGGCATTCCTGATGATGATTATGGGATGTTTATCTCACCAATGACATGGTTTTTATGACCTCTGGATGTTTTTTATGTTGATAGTGCTTATCAATAAAACTACACATTCAGTATTTGCCTTCTCTTCTCCACCAATTTGGTAATCAGTTTACTTCCGCTTCTCTGCATACATGGATCACCTTTAATTATATAATTTATAAATATTAAATTATTACTATGTTGTCAAACCTATGATATGATGGTACTACAACAATGACGCCTAACCCCTTTCAATATTCAGTATCAATTTTTTTAGTACGGTAAATTGAATTGCTAAATTCAAACTAAAGGAACCTAGTGAAGTATATTAAAACATGAAAGTATTAATTTAAACCCAGTTTATATAACTCTTTTCAACCATAGACACGTCCACCATCTTATGTGAATTTTGTACAAAAACTGTATATTGTAGTCTTGGTAACCATATTTGTCATAACTTTAATTGAAATTCTCAATATTTGTAACCATATTGTAACCTTTTAGCCATTGTATAATTTATTGTAAACATATTGTATCTGTCTTTGCCAGATATATAGCACTTTAGCCATTGTCTTATTTCTATTGTACTTCATTATTTTACCTGTTTAGGCCAAGCTGCTTAATTACTGTAGAATACTTTATTTTCGCTTGGAATTTATTTTCGCTATTTTCGCTGAAGGGATGATTCCGTGAAAATAAAATCCAGCGAATATACTTTTTTTCCTATATTTCACATTAAACTCATCAAAAATCAGTGAAAATAAATTCCATACAAAACGCCCAAAAAGCCTTTTCAGCGAAAATTAATTCCAGCGAAAATAAAGTATTCCACAGTAATTGATTAAGTTATTTTCAATTTGGTTATGTTTTTATGATAAGCTTTTTCTATGAAAAAAAAATGTTAAATTTGTTGTTTTTGCCAATTGTTTGCCAAATTATCAGTCAACAGCTATTTATGTACTGTAGAATACTTTATTTTC